TATGGGTGCGGTCTCCTTGGAAGAAAGGGATATTAACATATTCATGTTTGAGAAGGTACGTGGCCCAGCTCTAGCTATTAGAAACCAAAAGTGTCACAGGACCTAGTGATGGGTTATGGACCGTTGTCAAGAATTTCATCACCCTTTTTTACACTGTTTGGATATTAGACCTTGATTGTGGAAGCCAGGCAAAGGAACCTAGATATGTGTGGTCTTCAGAGAGTTTAAGCTAAAAATCCAGCTTAATTTTATGGCGTTTTAAGAGGAATAGAGGCTGGGTAGGCTTTTAAAACTTTTTATTTTTAAGTAATTCCATTTCCATGGTTATCTCGGGCCAAATGAAAGCCTATCCCCTGGATTATTATGTAAGATTCACCTGCTTTGGTCCCTTCAAGCTCCAAAATAATTAAAGGAGCTGACATTCCTAACTTATTTCACTTTAAGCTTCCTATATATTCACAGTATAATCATTAGGAAAAAGTCCTCCACCAAGATACTGTAACTGCTGTGAATGAGCCCATTATTATAGCTTTATAATTAAGAAGCACATTATAATATTTTATTGCCCCTAAATTTTCATTTGGGGATATGAATCATAATCTTTTGCATTGTTCTTAATGTTTTTTTGAGGGTTCACAAAGTGGTAGAAATGTGGAGAGAAATATTAATAATTGTTTTCCTTCTCATTTGTTTATACATTGCATCTACAAGTGATATGATGGCCTTCCCTAGAAGGCTTTATGAAGCTCATTCTTCTCCAAATGAAAGATCATGGTTCCTCAGGGGAGGGATTATTTTGAGTCTTCTCAATTTATCACACAGATTAGCTAGAACTGCAGCAATCTGCATTCTCTCCTTCGCTGCCACTGAGTTGGAACTGGGTCCTTGCGGATCCTCCATCGCGGCAGTTATTTGCATGGGAGGATTACCCATCCGTCTCTCAGGGAGCTACTGGAGGATTCAGACTGCCAGAGAGAAGTGACCTTAGGGCTAGCAGCACAAATCCCTATAGACCACTCCTTGAGACATGCGTTACATAATCTTACTAGTTGTTGTTGTTGTATGCCATGAGTCATTTCCAATGCACAGAGACCATGTTGTCACACTGATCGATCACTTGGCTGCTAACCAAAAGGCTGATGGTTATAATCCATCAGCTGCCCACAGGAAATTGTTATGTGCCATCAAGTCACCTGCGACTCGTGGTGACCCTATGTACAACAGCTCTGAAGCCTGCCCTGTCCTGAGCCAGTCTCACTGACTCCGACACATCTACCCTCATTGCCCCAGTTACTATATCAATCCATCTTCTCCAGGGTCTTCCTCTTCTGCACTCTCCCTCCACTCTTCCAAGCATAATGTCCTTCTCCAAGGACTGGTCCCTCCTTGTCACATGCCCAAAGTATGTGAGATTGAGCTTCAAAATCCTAGCCTTAAAGGAGAAACTTGGTTTCACCATCACCAAGACAGAGTTACTTCTTTTCTTGGTGGTCCATGGTATGTTCAAGACTCTTCTCCAGCACCACAGCTCAAAAGAATCCATTCTGTCATCCTTGGTCATTGTTCAGCTCTCTAATGCATAGCAAGTAATTGCAAAGACCATGACCTGGATCTCTAGACTGACATCACTGCTACTCAGTACTCTCGAGAGGCCCCTGACAGTCGATTTTTCCAGTGCAGTTTGACTTTTGGTTTCCTAACTGCTGGTGCCAAGAGTATTGATTGTGGAGCTGAGCAAACTGTAATTTTTAACAATTTCAATCTCATCTCCATCTATCATGGTGCTGTCAATTGGCCCAGTGAAAATCTTTGTTTTCTAGATGTTGAGATTCAATCCACATTGAAGACTACAATCCTTGACTTTCTGTAGCAGGTACTTTAGGTTATCCTCAGTTCCAGAAAGCAAGGTTGTGTCATCTGCATAATGCAGGTTGCTGATGAGTCTTCTTCCAACCTTGATGCACTCCTTTCCTGATTTTGAACCGTGCAATGTTTCTTTGCTCTGTTCTGAGGACGGCTTCCTGGTCTGAGTATATGTTTCATATAAACACAATCAGGTATTCTGAGATTTCCATTCTCCTCAAGGTTAGCCACAATTTGTTGTGATTAACACAGTTAAATGGCTTTGCATAGTCAATGAGACACACATAGACATTCCTCTTGTACTCTCTGCTTTCTGTAAAGATCTGACATTGGCTATAATGTCTCTAGCGCCATGACATCTTTTAAATCCAGCTTGTATTTCTGGTAGTTCTCTGTTGATGTACTGTTCTATTCATTTTTAGATAATCTTCAGCAGGATTTTGCTTATGTGTGATATGAGTGATATTTTATGATAATTTTCACACTATGTCAGGTCATCTTTTTTTGGAAGGGGAATAAACATGGATCTCTTCCAGTCAGTTGGCCAGGTAGTTGTCCTCCAGATTTCTTGGTGCAACCTGGTGAGCACATCCAGCACAGCATCTGTTTGTTGACATATGTCAATTTGTAGCCCATCAATTCCTGGGACATTATTTTTTATTCCTGGGGCCAACTCCTTACTTTTATATATTTTATTCCTGGGGCCAAGTCCTTCAGAGCAACCTGAACTTCCTCCTTCCTCAACCGTGCCTTTTGATTATAATCATGAAATGATTCATGTTTCATGAAATTTTTCTGTGTCAACGAATTCTTACGGTACAGTGGCTCTGCATGCCCCTTCCATCTTCTTTTAATGCTTCCTGGATCATTCAATATTCTGCCTATAGCATCCTTAAGTATTACAACTCTAGGCTTGAATTTGTTCTTTAGTTCCTTTAGCTTAAGAAATGCGGAGCGAGTTTGACCCTTTTGATTTTCCTGCTCCAGCTCCTTGCACATTTTATTATAATACTTTGCTTTGTGTTTCCAAGCTGCCCTTTGAAATCTGTTCAGCTCCTTAACTTCTTGATTTCTTCCCTTTGCTTTGGTTTCTTGGTGCTCTATTCAGTACAATATTCAGAGTCCCTTCTGATATTCATGTTTGTCTTTTTTTTTTCCCTTCATCTTTGTAATGACCTTTTGCATTCTTCATGGATGATATATTTTATATCTTCCCACAGCTCATCGGGTCTTCGTTCATTAGTGTTCAAGGCCTCAAACCTATTCCTAAGTTGGTTTTTAAATTCAGGGGGATAGACTCAAGATCAAATTTTGGTTCCTGTGGATTTGATTTGACCTTCTTTAGCTTTAATTTGACTTGCATATGAGTAGTTGATGGTCTGTTCTGTAACCGACACCTGGTCTAGTTTTTACTGCTGATATTGAAATTATCCAATGATTCTTTCCACAGATGTAACCCATCTGATTCCTGTACATACCATCAAGGGTAATCCATGTGTATAGCCTGTGTTTGTTTCTTATAAAAGGTATTATGTGCAATGAATAAATTAATTGTGTAGATTTTTATCTTTCTACTCCAGCCTCATTTCTGTCACTAAGTCCATATTTTCTGACTACTGATTTTTCTTCCTGGTTCCCAATTATTGCATTCCAGTCACCCATTATTATTGCATCTTCACTGCATGTTCGATTGATTTCTGACTGCAACTATTGGTTAGAAATCTATTTCCTCCTATCTGGCTTTGGTTGTTAAATTTGAATAAATTTGAATGATAGTGCATAAATCTGAATGATAGTGGTATTGACAGGCTTTTCTTGTATGCATATGGATATTATCCTGTCACTCACAACACTGTAATTTCAAGACGGATCTAGAAACAGCCTTTTTAGCTATGGAAGTGACCCAGTTTTTTCTCACCTTTTCATCTCCAGCAAAGTAGATCATCTTGCTCCCTTAAATACTAGAGTGCAGGAAAATCCTGGGGCAGTTCTTATCTACTCTGTAAGATTATTAGTTCAATTCTGATGGAATCAGAACTGAATTGGTGACACACAACAACATTTGCTCGCAGGGAGAAATTTCCCAGCATGCAAAACTGAACTTGACTTCCTCTATATCTGACTTTGTCCATTCTCTACTTTCTGAACTTGCTCTCTTATCCCTTGAGGGTATCTTCTTAGTTAGAAAAGAAAACAAGCAGGAGGCAACAAGGATGTTATTGCCTCATTAGAAACACAGTGGAATCCTTGCTACGAGGATTCTTTTATAAACATGCTTACCTTGGAGAAATAGAATCTAATGAATGGATGCTGACTATAATGGAGGAGATAATGTGAGGCTAGAACTCATCCATTAGCATTCAGAACACACCACATCTGCTTTGTTTTTGGAATCTCTGGTGGTGTAGTGTGTAGGAGTTGTTCTGCCACCCCAAAGGCACTCAGTTCGAATCCACCAGCTGCTCTGAAGGAGAAAGACAGGCAATCTCCTCCTGTTTGATTTATTGCCTCTGAAAACCTGCTGGAGAGTCAGCTTTGAGTTGGTTCTGATTCACCAGCACACAGTAACAATAGCTTTGCTTTTACACAAGATCATCCTTGACTCCCACAGGCAGCTATCATAGATCAAAGGTTTCAATGAAGTTTTCAAATTTCACTGGATATCAACAATGGCATACATGTGATTTCATGCAAATGTCTCTGCTTTTGAATTGTTAAAAACAAAACCAGATGCTTCCCTGCATACTGGACATCCTTCCTGGAAAATACCGAGGCTCAGATATTTCTGCTATCAACTGCCACCAGAAATTCTTAGCCTAGTGGTGACAATTCCACTGGTGACAGCAGTGATTAATTATGATGCAGCTCAAGTACTTATCTGAGTCTCAGATGACTCAAACCATAACCACAGAAGGCTTGGATTTTTCACTTCTGATCACTTGGCTGCCTCTTTGTTAAGGAGGATAAAATTACTTGAACATTGCAATTGTTATGTCCTCGGGCCATTTACTTTAATGAACTTGGTGGCTTCTAAACACAAGGCCATTTTTTATGGATATTCTAAACTTTAAAAAAAAATCAACCTGGAAATCAACTTTCTTTAAACAATCAGTTTCCACATGCAAACCAAACCTTACCCGTGCGAGGCAGTCACTCGACTGGAAGTCTGTCTTGCCGGCCTTAGAGAGGCGATGCTTGTCATGATTTGTGGGTAGAGGGGCCTCCGTCTTTGAAATTCTGTTTTCTGTCCCTCTGTCCATTTCTGACCTCTCTAGATGGGATCCAGCCACCTCCTTGAGAGGATCAGTGCCATTCTCTAACTCAGAGATGTGGCCATTTCCAAGTTCGGGGCCTGGGCCATTGTCCAGCTCAGAGCTTGGGTCATTGTCCACCTCACAGCCAGAGCTGTCCTTTGGGGCATCAGTGGCCTTGGGGGTGGAAGGCCTGGAAATGACCCCAAACTTCCTCGTTCTCTTGCCCTTTTTTGGAGTTTGGTCACCGAGATCCAAGGTAGGGCTCTCTCCTGGTTCAGAGCTGTTGCTGCTGTTGCCATTGTAAGGAGAATGGACTTTGTGCTTGAAGCGACGCAGCATGATCAGGTAGATGAATCCGCCATTCCAACACTGCTCAGCCAGGTAACTGCAACAGAAGGAGAGGCCTGAGTTAAACCTTAGTGCATCTTCACCGAGCACGGGAGGGCAGATGCCTTCAGCGGCTCACACGGGACCCAAGTGACGAGAGACGTGGAGACGCAGAGGCGCTCAGCTCCCTAAAGAGGCTTATAGTCAATTTATTCTTGTAAGAGATTTAATTGTTGATGCTACAAATAACCCCAACACCAAAGAAACCCATGAACTGAGAACTACTCATTAAAACACCCAAAGATCAGGAGAGAGAGAAGTAGTTTCCTAGTAGCAGGGCCAATAATGACATATTTTTTTTAATTAAATTTCTCCACTCTCTCAACAATTCCCTGCATTAGGATTATGTGGTTCTTGGTCTTAGGTGCCTTTGAGTCGAGTATGACTCTAACGACCCTGTGAACAACAGATCTGAATCGTGTCCTATCTGGTACCATCCTCCTCATCTCCAACACACGACAGCTCATTGCTGCAGTCATGGAGGTTAGACTCCAGCTAGTACAGAACACACTTGCCACTGCTGTAAGTCAACTCCCATTCATGACCACCCCACGAGGGTCATCAAATTCATTAAGGGCAATGGTCCAACTGGAACTGGATTTTCAATGACTGAGGGTTGGGCTTAGGTTTGTTTGTTTTTTTTTCATTTGAGTGAAAGTTTACAAATCATATTGGATTTCATTCAATCATTCATCCACATTTTGTTTCATAATGTTAATTCAATTGGTTAGGATCATTAACTGTAAACTTGCATTTGCATATTACCATTCCCTTCACCTAACTTTCCTGTTTATTAACTTTTGCTCCCCCCTCCCTGAGTTTTTAGATGCATAACACCAAGCCTTGATTCTGAGGCATCTCTGAGTGGCCTTGAACCACCAACCTTTCGGTTAGTACTTGAGCACGTTAACCATTAAACCCACCCAGTATGAGCTATATTCAAACAGTTCTGATGTAATACTACTGCAAGTCCCCAAAATGGGTGGCACAGAAAGGGAGAGCTGCGAAGTTCTGTTCTTCATAATTGCAGAGTTACAGGGAGCTCTGCCTCATAAAAATGAAAACAGGATAATGACTGGAGTGTGGGGGTGAAAGCTGGGGTGGGGTGGTGGTAAGATGCAACTATCAGACATGCTGAGAATCATCTGCTGCATTGAATGCATAGCAAGTCTGATTCTTGATCTTGACCTTGAATGGCTGTTAATAGCATCCACAGGGTGTTAGTTCCAATGTGGACATAAAAGAGGGGTACTGGTGATGTGGAAAACACAGAGACATGGGGTGACCGGGACAAAGAGACCATTCGCCCTCGGGACTCACTGGAGGAATGAGAGGTGCCCGGGCTGAAGAAACTGAGAGTGAAGGGAGTCAGGTGTTCGGACCTTTGAAGGCTGCCAAATATTTAGAAGCAGGAAATAATATAAACGAGATATGCATGTGAAGGCCGACATACAAGAACTACTTCTGATCTTAAAAAATAACAAAAGAACGGAAGATCAAATGGAGCGTGTAACGAGCGGTATTCAGAAGTAGGTCAGAAAAGCTGTCGCAAAGAAAACACTTGCTCACAGTCAGGAAGCCGGGCTGTGCCCCCCAAGATAAGAAGGCACAGGTCCCCGATGAGCATGGAGACGTTCCTTCCTTGCTGGACCCAAGCCACATTCTACACATCACTGCTTCCCAAGCCTACAGTGTCAACAACCAAATCCTATGCAGACCCACTTCCTTCCTGCCTTTAAATTCTCACAAAAAAGAAGGCCAAGGGGTATGCTGCCTGCACTTGCAAGTGAGCCATGGGGAGCCTTTCCAAGTGTACGGTGTGAGATCACCTCTGGAGGGACAGGGACAGCAGGTAAATGAACATTAAGATCCCCTTCTCCAGGAAGAGCTTACTGTGCCTGGTCACCAGGGAAGTGACTAGAAAACCAGAGAGTGGGGGTAGTTGGTGTGTGGAAAGGAGACCCGTCTTCAAAGTCCTTTCTTAGCTGGCCCACCCACTGCCACTGAGCGATTTCCAACGCACTGCCACTGAGCGATTTCCAACCCACAGTGAGTGATTCTTGACTCATAGCCACTCTATTCATTTCTGAGGCCCAACATCTTTACTGGAGCTTACCTTTCTCCCATGGAGTGGCTAGTGGAATCGAACCACCAAACGTTTAGCTAGCAGTCCAGTATGTTATGTGCAAAGCTAGTAAGACTCTTACTTCTTAGCCTCCAAATGCATCCCCATGTGTCTAATGCCACCAGGTACAGGGATCAAAAAAGGATCAGGCAGACATGTGGGAGGCATATTCAGTCACTATCTTCCCCTTTCATTTTTATTTAGAGAATCCCAAATGTTGTCTGTAATGAACTTAGTTAAGCCACACTAGTGCTAAAAGTTGAACCAGGATTAGTCTAAGCTCACTTTATTTCACTCACCATCCTGAGTCCTTCCCCCACACCCCCACCACTGAGTCTTAATGACTAATGGCTGATCCTCTATTTGGGTTTCCAAGCTTGTAAACTGCATGGAAGGAGACTACCCATCCTTCTCCTATAAAACCACTGGTGGATCCATATCTCTGGGTTAGCATTGCAACCTCTTATAGACCATGTGGCCAGAGCTCCTTAGTCTCAGGCAGCGTTGTTAGGCGCCATCTGGTTAACTACGACTCATAGCGATGCTACAAACAACACATGTGAACCTTGCTCTATTCTTCTCCCTCCTCACAATCTCCATCATGCTCAAACCCACTGTTCCAGTCGTTCCATCTCAGTGAGGGTTCACCTCTGTTTCTTCATCCCTCCATAAGTTCCAGCATCATCTCGTTTTTCCAAGAATAAACATCAACATAAAGAGAGATCAGTTGGTCTGCTGGACAGAAAGTGATGTTACTAAGCCAAAGGTGGCTGACTTTTAATCCATGGCCCTCAGGCCCATTTTTCATTGTTTTTGTTCAAACATTCTTTTAGGTCATAGAGCCCTGGTGTGTCCACTTGCCATATAGAGATGACCTGTGGTTGTTGTGAAGTTGAACACTGTGACACTGATGTGTCAAATGCATTAATGGTGACCCATGGTGGACAGTGTTTGGTGATGCTCCCTGGTTGAAACAAGTTTGGAAGGAGGAGTGGCATCCACTTTCGTAATAGCTTGCCTCTGAAAAACCTATGAACCTGGAGAAAGGATGAAAGTCACATAAGTGTTGAGGACTTTTATTCATAGGGTCGCTATGAGTCACCTATGACTTGACAGCACTTAACAACAACAACAACAACAACAAGCTAGATATACTGGGAGGAACAAACTAAAAAGAAAACAAACTCTGGAAGCTCTGCTGAAACTTTTCCACTACAGGTGACCCGGCTGGTATTTGAAATCATGGTGACATAGCTTCCAATAGCACAGTAATATGTAAGTGACTGCAGTGTAACAAACTGATAGAAGGTTGACAGGTCTTGACAGAAGTCCCATTCTAAGATCGGTTAGAGAGGAAGGCTTGGTGATCTATTTCTGAAAATGAGCCAGTGAACGCCCTATGGATCACAGCAGAAGTTAGTCATTGAGATGAGGTGCAGTTCTGGGCAATGTTTCTTCTGTTGCACATGGGTCTCCTGTACCAATGACCAGGCGAATGCATTAACAGAATGATTCTGAACTTTGGTAATGCACTACAGTGAACAAAAGGTCTTAAAACATCAACTACACCCAACAGAAATGCCCTTTGGTCTTCGGCTAGAAATCCTGCATGTGAACAGACACACAAAAACACAGGCAGTTCTGTGAAATGCAGAGGGTTGAAGGGTGAAGGCCAGTGCACTGGACCTGGGAGCTGAGGATTAAACTTGGCTGTTGATAATAAATTTGCTGTAAAGTTTTTCTATGGCGTATAGACTTCATTTCTTTGAATTGTAGTGTTTTGAAATATTTTTTTCCCTATTCTGGAAAAATTCTTATAAAGATATGAAATCCTAAAGGTGTAGCCAGATTGTATGGGTTTATTTGAGCAAACACTGCTATTTAATATGATACATATGCTATGCTCAGATATTATGAAAAATAGTGTGGGTAGTGAAAATGAGTTGCTGATTGGCCACCCAAGTCTTGATTGTTTAATCATTGACTCAGTTGTGTAAAACAGCAATTATACTGACCAAGTTTTGAGTTCCTTCTTTGAAAGGTGCTTTATACATACCATTTTCCAAGAATTTTTATTACAAGAGAAGAAAATGAGGCTCAGATATATCATTTAACTTGCCCAAGTCCACATAGCTGATAATGGGAAAACCCAAGTGTATTTTATTCCAAATTTCAGACTATATTTGCTGGCTAATTCTGCTTATTTATATCTACAAGAATAAAAATTTGACCTTGAGTCTATCTCATCTGAATTAAAAAACCATTTCAAGAACAGATTGGAGGCCTTGGACACTAATGAATGAAGACCAGATGAGCTGTGGGAGGATATCATCCATGATGAATGCAAAAGGTCATTACAAAGAAGAGGACAAAAACACTGAGATGGATGTCAGAAGAGACTGAATATTGCACTAGAGCATCAAGAAGCCAATGCAAGGGGTGGGGGGAACAATCAGGAAGTCAAGGAGCTGAACAGAAGATTTCAAAGGGCAACTTGGCAGGACAAAGCAAAGTATTATAACAAATGTACAAAGATCTGGAGTCAGAGAATCAAAAGGGATGAGCTAGTTTAGCATTTCTTAAGCTGAAGGAACTGAAGAACAAATTCAAGCTTCTAGTTGCAATATTTAAGAATGTTATGGACAGAATTTTAAATGATCCAGAATGCATCAAAAGAAAACAGGAGTACACAGAGTAACTGTACCAAGAAGCATTGGCTGATGCAGGAAAACAATGAATGACCAAGAGGCAATGGTGATAAAGGAGGAAGTTCAAGCTGTTTTGAGGGAACTGGGAGAAAATAAAAAAGGCCCCTGGAATTGATGGAATACCAGTTAACATATTTAAAAAGATGCTGCCCTGGATGGGCTCAC